TGAATGATTTTGCAGAGACGAGAGTTCAAAATTATTTTTGCTTGGTAATTTGAAGTAGCAAGTTATTTTGTGTGCCTTTGAAAGCAGCTGTTGTGAAGCCCAGTTTACTCATCCTTACAGTCCTGTCAGGTCCTGCCTTACCTATGTGTGAAAAGACTTGAACTATTTACAGAATGTCATTGTTTGACACTCTACCATTTGCTATTTATTTGATATAAGTTGTGTTTGCTTGTTTTTTAATTTTCCACAACTTGTGTGTGAGCTCTTTATATAAGAAATATGTATCTGATATTTAAATCTATGCCTAGTGGTAAGGAGTAAAGCTCCCAATCCAGAGACATTTGGTTTTAATCCACTGATTGCTCTGAGGGAGAAAGATGGACACTCTCCTCGTGTGCAGTTTAGTGCCTCTGAAAACCCACTATAAAGTCAGCTATGGGTTGGTTCTGACTCTACAGTACCTAACAACAATCACATCAAGACCTCCATTGCCAGATACTTTATAGAAAATTATAAACCATTAAGAAATAAGATGTTTGGGCCCATGTCAAAGACAAAACACTCATCCCAGATAAAATCAACACAGTTCCAACAGGTTCTTAACTTGTGGATATGAGTGATGTGTCACTGAAACGTAATGTACTTATTGATGCTATTTGACTGCAGCCCGTGTGTTTTGGTACCTCTATTAGAGCATGATTCTTAGCACACATTCTTTGTGCTTGGTAAATACTTGTTTGATGGAAAAGTACTTCTTGTGTCTTAGTACTGCCTAGGGTGCTTACAAAGATCTATTTTAAATGTATTATGTATAGTATGGTAATTCTTTCATTCATTAAATGAGTTGCCCTTATTGGAAAGTTAATCTCTTTATGAAGAGAGTAACTTTTATCTTAGAATAAACAGACTTGGACACTGAATCTTCATTGCTTTGTTCACAGAAAATTCTTTGGTTTATTTCCAGGGTTAGAAAAAAGTAATAGATACCACTTTGTAGTAAATTGCTTCATGCTTTTGTGGCAACATTCTGATGACTGACATAGTGAAGTGTTAGACTGCCCTAGTGCTTTGTGATGCATTGTTGTCAAGATAGATCGCTATGAGTTAAGTAAAACTCATAGTGATCCTATGAACAACAGAACCTTGTCCTGTCCTGTGGCATCCTCATTGTCTCTAACATATGTGCATCTATTGCTGCCAACTCTGTGTCCATCCAAGTATGTGAAACAAAACTTCAGCATCCTTGTCTCAAAAGAACACTCTGGATGCACTTTTTCCAAGACACATGTGTTTGTTCTTTTAGCTGAAGATCCGTGATGTTAGCTTAAAGACTAAGGTGCACCTAATTCAAGCCATGGTCTTTTTAATCACTTGTTATGCATCTGAAAACTGGAGAGTGAACAAGAATAACAGAACAAAAGTGATGCATTTGTGTTGTGGTATTGGAGAAGAGTACTGAGTGTTTTGTGGACTGCCAAAAGAACAAATATGTCTTTGATACAGTGCAGTCAGATCAGTAAAAGAAAGGAGGACCTCAGTAAGATAGATTGACATATTAGTTGCAGCAAAGGGATCATGTGTTGTTGTTCTTTGCCGTCAGATCAGAACCCAACCTGTAACTTACCTTCCAGTGGGTTTTTAGATTTAGTAAATCTCATGAGGAGATTGCCCAGCCTTCTCTCTTGGAAAATCTGATGAATTTGAAGTGCATGCCTTTGAGATTGCAGTGCAGCTTCTTACCAGTAGGCCATCAGAGCTCCCTCTGGGATCGAATATATCAGAGAATATAAGGATGACACAAGAAACGGGACATGGCTTAGATCTGTTATTATAGGGTCGCTATGAGTCACACTCAGTAGGACACAATGTTGAGAGGTAATCACAAATACCTTTTAAAAAATTTTTTATTATATATTGGTTTGCATGCAGAATTAGTATACATAGTCTTTCACACTTTCCTTCATTGTATTTGTAATCACTATGTTTTATAAAATTAATCTCCATTGAATTATGCCCACCATTACCCTGTCTTTTTAGATCCCTGCTGGATCTTTCCTATTTCCTTTACTCTCCTCTCCACACCCATCAAATTGTGCAACTTATCATTTTCCCCGCCACCCTCACTCCTCTGCCCCTACCCTTTTCCCTCTTTGACTTCCAAATATGTTTTACTAGTTATTCTTCTGTTTTTACAGTAGTGGTATTTGTTCTTATGAGACTGAGTTAGTTCACCTAGCAGAATTGTCTCCAGTCGCTCCCAATTTATGTAGTGTTTTTTGAAATCATTGCTCCTGAGTGCTGTGTAGTATTCCATCATGTGAATGTACCATAGTTTCTCAATCCATTCAGTTGTGGTTGGACATTTGGGCTGTTTTCATGTTGGTGTCTGTACACCTGGATCTTATCCGATAGACCACACTGGTATCAGATTGATTACATCTGTGGAAAGTTCACTGCAGAAAGCCCTTTTGCTGATCTGAACATTTTTAAAGTTCATTAACCTTTTTGTGTTTTAAATGTGTAAAGCAGAGAACAGAGCAAAATAATCTATCATAGATTTTACCTATGAAAATTCTGATTCTATAATACTGGGAGTAGTTTTTGAATAGTTAATAAAATCTAGTGGAGAGTGGAAAAATTCATGTCAGTATTACAGTTAATACTTCCAGAGTGTATTGGCTTCATTACTTTGTCTACATTTCCCCATATATAAGCATACATTTAGATATACTGACAAATTAATCTGTCAGTGGTTTTAAGAAAATAATTTCTAATTATCACTGTTGTTTGTAGTATTACATCATTATTTTCTTCATACATTAAGAATGTTGGTAGGTGACACTGAGTTGACTACAGTTCATAGCAACGCTATGAACATCACCCTATCCTACTCCTAATGATCTCTTATGTGCTTAAGCCTATTATCACAGTCACTGTGCCAGTCTGTCTTGTTAAGGCTCTTCTTTTTTTTCTTTGAAACCTCCACCATTCCTACCATAATGTCGCCTTGTAAAGATTGACCCCTCTTGACAACATGCCCACAATGTGTGGGATGAAGTTTTACCACCCTTGACTCTGCAGAGCACTCTAGTTACACCAAGATAGATTTGTTTGTTCTTTTGATAATCTATGGGATATTCAGAACTCTTCTCCAATACCATAATTCAAAGACATCGAGTTTCTTCTGTCTTCGTTATTCAGTCCATATTCCTGATGCACAGGAAGCAATTGAACAGATCATGTCTTGGATCAGGCACACCTTAGTCCTTCAACTGATGTCATTGCTACTTATCAATGGTGAGGTTTGGAGAAGTCCTTGCCAGAAGATTTTTTCATTGCAACATGTTTTTTGATTTCTGCACTGCTGCTACCAAGGTTGTTGATTATGACACAAGTGAAAAATAAAGGCATTGAGAACTTCAGTCTATTTTCCTTCTATCATGACGTTGCATGTTGGTCCAGTGGTGAAGATTTTGTTTTCTTGATGTTGAGATATAATTCATATTGAACGTTGTAGTCTATGGTTGTCTTTAGCAAGTACTTCAAGTCTTCTTCACTTTCAGCATGCAGGGCTGTGTCATCTGCATGGGCATAATTTTATGTTAATTTGTTTGCATATGTAACAAGAAGAGCATCAAAAGCGAGATGAAAGAAAGAATAGAGAATATATATATCTTAAGACTATATATATCTTAAGACTATATATATCTTCAGAATATATATGTATATATGTGTGTATATATATGTGTGTGTGTGTGTGTGTGTGTATATATATATATATATATATATATATATATATATACACATAAATATAAATCTTCAGAATATACATACACCGCTCTTCAGAAAAGTTAGAGAATCTTGCAGCTTCCAGACAGGGAGCCTTTTTGGATGCTACACAAAGGAGATGTTAGCCATTCTCCTCTTGTGTGGTTAACTGCCTCTGAAAACCTGCTGGTGGGTCAGCTATGGGTCAGTACTGACTTGATGGTACACAGCAACAACATACCGCTTGAATATCTTTGTAAAACTGGTGATTTCATATTTATGTTGATTGTTTCATATGTATATATCAATTTACTATTTCTTTTGTGTAACTCATATATTTTTAATAGAAAATTTATGTTTCATTTTTAAACAGTATTTTACCAGAGTCTGTGCTAGGTGCTACTGAGAGAAGTTTATGACATTCAGTGATTTCCTAAGGAAACTAGGGATTAATTCTCTTGGCCCAACATGGACGGCTGAATTTCCGGAATGAGAAGAATGGAAGGGAGACATTGTAACTTTTAAATTTTGAGCTATCTGAATATACTAAAATTATATATAAATTATATGTGTAATAGATAACAATTACATATAACATATAATAATGATA